GCGTAAGCCAGGCTGAAAAGTGTAAAAGTCACAACAGAAATACTGGAAAGCGACTGCATTTTGGTATGAAAACTTCCTTTAAAATTGGATTGATATAAGTAGGTATTTGTCTCTGAAAGAGGTCGAACTGAATTGATACTCACTGAAATACTGAACTAAGTTTTTATACTAAAATCCGACTCACAATGTGCAGACTAAGAATACGAATATGTCGGCCACTCTATTATGTATATACATACATAGGCTAACGCAGAAATAAATAAAAAACCATNAAGCTAAACAACTAAGTGAAGCGTAACGAATTGGCGTGTAAAATAGCAACATTAAAAACACTGCCTTTTAGTCTAAACGTATACATATTGCTTAAAGGGAAGCGGAGAGGGTTCTATGTACATGCTTAGGCTTAGTTTTTGCCTTCTGCTTGACGGGCCATTTGCCGCTGGAAATTCGAGAAATGACCTTGCGACTACCCAATCGATTGTCGATCAGCACAGGTACTAAGGCGAATTGTAATTGTATGGATTTGTATTATTGCTTTGATGGCTTGCATATTAGAAAATTAGTAAATCAAAAAATTAGCTGCAGACGTGTTAAATGTGGTGGGGCGTTATGTGAAAGGTAGTAAATACTACGGATACAGTACACTTGCAGCAAAAAAAATTTATGTACATATGTATATACTATACATATACATTTTCATTCTTGCATACATTTTTTTTAATTACACATTGCGTGTTTTATAACACAAAGTTTCATTGTACCGCCTTTTGTTCATACCATACCAATCCCTGCTAATGAGCAAAGTTTTGTATTCTTAAAATTAGAAGCCCATAGTCAAAATGCTGCTAACGTAAAGGCAAACGAACAAGCCCGTTTTGGTATAAATAGATCGCATACAAATTGAATTAGTATCAGTTCGGTATATTCTCACCATAGATTTACACGTAGTCACTCCACATTCAATTAAAAATTTCCTATCGTAACAATTATGCAGCTGCTTTCCGGTCTCGCTATTATCGCTGTTGCGTCCTTCAGTATGGCTTACGCGGGATACATACCGCACGGACACGCTACCAGCTATGCTTCGGTGGTGCAGCAGGAAGTTGTGCCTCATCACGCCGCTTACTTGGCTCCAGTTAACCTGGTGGCCTACAGTGGCCATGGACCTGATCACTACGAACATCACGAACCACATCACTACCCCAAATATGCTTTCGATTATGGTGTCAAGGACGCACATACTGGCGATCACAAGAGCCAATGGGAACAGCGTGACGGCGATAAGGTTAAGGGTGAGTAAATGAAAGTAGAAAAATCGGCTGCAAGTCTCCTTAACAATAGCTCTCCTGCCAATCAGGTGGCTACACTCTGGCCGAAGCTGATGGCACTACCCGCGTCGTGGAATACACAGCCGATGATCATAATGGCTTCAACGCCGTCGTAAAGAAGATCGGCCATGCGCACCACCCTCAAGTGTATTATCATAAAGAAGCCTATGGATATGATGGTCACGGACACTATCCTCTTGGACATTAAAGTCCCCAGTGCCGAAAAAACCAAGGAAACACATTACTGAAACTTTTCGATGAACAGCGATTTGTAAGATGTAAGTACCTGTTACCACTCAGTGAATATGGAGTGATATTTGTGATTTGAAACCCCCAGTTGTAAAAAAAAAAATTATTAAAAAATTAGATTTATAAACATTGCAATAAACGTGTGTTTTACTTGTTGAGCCTGGATTATGGTAAAAAAAAAATGTCTCATGAAATAAAAGGACTTAATAAGTTTTAGCGCTTAAATGTAAAATCCGCCTCAGCTTCTTAGCGATTTGTTTGCAAGCACGCCGTGCATAATTAAATTTTGGTCAAAGTACCCAGACCGGGGACAGCGATATTTACAAAGCGGTTGTGCTTGGTTGTGACCCTGCAGGAAATGGGACTAGTTTGTATCTAACTATTAACTAAGTAGCAATCGACTAGTGGTAAATATTATTAACTATTTACCTTGGCGGTAACTAACTACTTTTGAAGGGCGATGGCCGCAAGATAGTGAGAACTAGTTTCCTCTGCATAAGATGTCAACTAACTTGTAGCTAACTACTTTTGCACATAAACTATCAATAAAAAAAGACTTTTTAAATTCTTTGTGTTTTTATTTATTTACTTATTTTATTTAACATTACATAGTTGCTTATTTGGTTATATGTTCTTTTGTAGGCGGTCTCATACTTGAATTCGATCAGACATAACATCAAAATAACAATATCAAATTTCGACCTTTATTTTATTTCTCCTAAGTACGAAAAAGAATCCGCGAAGTGCAGAAAAAAAGTTCATTGAAAGTAATTTTTTAGAGAATATTTCAATAGAAACTTGTAAAGAAACCAAACCCCCGATAACGTCTGCATGACTCCTGCACAATTTAACAACCAACTTAAAGTTAGTTTTGTCATAGCTAATTAAAAGTTAGTTATTTATCGCAATCGCGCAAAAAAGCTAGCTAAAAGTTGTTTATTTTTATCAATTGATAATTTTTTTCTGCAGGGGAGCAACTGAAAAGTATATAAACACATTTGCTGTGCTATTTAAAGTTAAAAGCAATAGCTAGCGATAAATTAAGCAAGCGCTTTAATGTTTCTAGTTGAAACCAAACAAAAAAAAAAAACACGCAAAAAAAAAAAAGCTGCTACAGAAAAACGACAAAATTATTGGAAACGTAGCCACCAAATGGAGAGTAATAATTCAATCATTGGTGCACCGCTTGACAGTTGTTGAATAAAGGAAGGCGTTGGTCCGTTGTAGGTTGGTTGATTTGCTGCTTCGTCGGACGCGAAAGGAAAGCAGTGAAAGTGCAAACCAACTGAATATCACTAACAATTAGGGATGTCGGAAAACAATGCATCGAATTGCCATTTCAGTTTTTCAATAATGCAAAAAAGAGAAGCGAGTTTGGCCAAAAATTTGAAATGGCTCTAAAAAGTTCCGTTAGAAACGAAATTAGCTCAATTACAGTAATCAATTTGAAATTTTGTACAATTTTGCTTACAACATATTTCGCTACTGACATCCCTACGAAACACCTACACTTTAATGTGGGTATCACTTAGCCGATGTGAGAAATGTGTATTGAAGGTGAGTTATACCTGCTACGAAGAAATAAAACACCGCCTTAGTCGTCGTTCTGTGCGTCCAAACTAGCGTTGGTGTAATTGAGGTTAAGGTCCTTTTTGGCGCGACCTTCTTTTGCCATTTGGACTGCTGTTTGGCGAGCTAACAAATGGTAATATGAAGCGACATGCCACATAATGTAATTGTATGTACATGCTGGTTTTATGTGCCTATGTTTGATTCGAATGTACATATGTATGTATATATGTATATTACGGTGGTTCTTAAATTATCAACATTGTGTATGTGGCACCTCTTTATTTTATTATACGTACAAATAGAGACATCCAGGAAATTATCAAATATTTTACCAGGGTTTGAAAAAATTTATTTTGCAAAAAATGTCTGTTTTTGCATATTAATTGCGGATACTTTAGTATATTTTACATCAAAGTCATGTAGTTTTTGCATATTTTTGTTTTTTTTTTTAAATCTCTTTTTTTGTGAAATCTCTTGCTAAAAAAATCACAATAATTTTGTTTGTAAATATTCATCTGAATAACTTCTCGGACAGCCAAGCGGCCTCTACTTCTGTTTGATCTCAACTAGTGGAAGAGTGTAAAAGAGAGCTAATATGGTTCCTGGCACATAGGGACATTTACGGAAACGTGGCAGTGGACGAACTAGCAAGGAATGCGCTGGACATGGGCGCTTCGCTCAGGGAGATAAAGTTATGAGCTAGATTTTTATAAAAAAAAAATTATAAACATTTTATAGACAAGAGAAAAATTGCCAAAACTGGTCAAAATGTCACTTAACTTAATTAGCTGACCACAATGGTATAACTGATCAAAATAAAAATTTTGTCGAATTTTTGAGGTAAAAAAAAATCTCCTTTTTTATACCCTGCCAGATACTCCAAAACTTTTTGTTTGATTTTGAAATTTTAGTGTATTGTTCTATTGTGTATAAAACATTATGTTATGAGCAGAGGTGGGCACTACCACAAACAAGCGTGAGCTAAAAGTGAGCATGTGTTAGTGTACCTAATTCATTTTGCATGCTGTCGTGTTCTCATCGATGCGCTCTCGCTTGTATACGTACACGCAACGCTTACGCTCTTTTAGCACCTGCTAACTCTCTGCCCATGCCTGGTTATTATTAATATTTTTAAGGGCCACCCTAATGTTCATACTATGTGAAAACTTCTTGAAGGTTTTCTTTGCTTTAGCTTCATTTGAAATTTGAAAAATACCACAAATTTTCGCAAAGTCTCTGCTAATTTGAGGGTTTGGTCAGCGACAAAACGTCTTCGTTTGCTCTCTTTTTGCTTTTTTCTCTAATTCAATTTAATGTTACTTGTTCTTATTTTTTTGTGTTTCGTTTTGGGTTATTGAGGGTTAATTAAGGGCATTCATTTATATATTTACTGAAACATAAATATATTTTAAAAATTAACCGTGCGCACCAGTAAATTGTTGTATGAGAATTCGCACATAAGATATAGATGTATAAATGCTGAAATGTTTTTTTTTTTTGTACGGCTATTGCACATCTTTAGCTAGCGCTTGGTAGTGAACAAAAAACATCAAGCAAGTTTGACAGGTATAAATTCACAGACAGAGAACTGTTGAGGTTATGCAAGCTTTGTGGCTTTCTGTGTACACCAAGTTTGGACGATGCTTATTCTTTTTTCAATTAAGTTTTAAGTTATTAACCTTATAGTGCGTTCAGACAGAACAGGTGTTACACTGAACGAGGCGTAGCGAAGCTTTTCTCATGGACTCGGCTGCAAAGATACCAGAAAACCGACCGTCAGTGAAAAGCAGCAAAAATATTTGCTCGATTTTTTTCAAAAGATTAGTTAAGAAGTTCGTTTTCATTTTAATATTTTGATATCTTCTTTGCAGCAGCGTTATGTAGCGGAAAAAATAAATAGAAACTTCAAAACCAAAAGCTGTTTCGCTTTCAGCTCCAAAACGCTTCTGGAAAATCTTGCTGTATGAACCCTTTCATATGTACATATAGCTACAGCAATTTGAAAGCTTCACTCCGCTCGGAACGGCTTCGCTCGGCTTTGCTCCGCTTTCTGTGTGAACGTACCCTTAGAGCTATAAAAGAAAAAAATCCTTATAGGACCCTTAATTTAAGTTCCCCCGACTTTTAAAAGTTACTCTCTGCAAGTCTTACAACCTGCTTTATCTGTTTTATATGAAGCACAAACTTTTATTGAAAATAACACCACTTTGTTATGGGTCATTCCATTGTGACTAGTGGGACATTTTACTCCATAATGTGATCAATTGTGAATTTTAACTATTTCGTCGGAGCTTATACAAGAGCGATAACTAATGTATAAAACTGCTTTAACAAAAATACCAAACGATTTCTTAGTTTTATGTAACTATCATTTGAATGAATGTGACTGAAACAACACAGAAAACAACTCTATTTTACTTTTGTGCACTCAAATGTGAAGTTTAGCCAAAACACTTAATTTTCGGAACGATGTATTTGTGCTGTAAAACATGAATTATACGCTTTCGTTTTCAATAAAAATTTGGTTTATATAATCTACATAGAAATATTAAAAAATATTTAAAGTTGTGACTGGTGTAAAGCTTCTTTTGGTTTTTTTAATATTTTTCCACAGGTAAATGAAATGTAGTCATTCAAAAAGAGGTTACTACTGAAATAGAGATAATTGGGGCATATTTAAATTTATGTCGTTTTCCTCTTTTCAATGGAATGAACCGTATACAAAACAAGCATACGTATGCACGTCCTTAAAAGCTCTCATCTCTTGAGGTTCCATTATTATTTCTTTGTGACCTCTTCATGAATATTTTTTATTTAATTTGTTTAACTTATTCAAGCAAATTGTTGGTATTATTACTTTCTAAGCCTTCTAACCACTTGTGACCATTTCCAACGTATGTATACATATATTTCTAAGCTGTTCGAAGTTCTGTTTTCGCCTCACAATCACTGCGTGAAGAAGTTTGTTTCCAATTGTGTTTATGTATGTGTATTTTGCTGTACAATGTATGTACCCTGCAGTACCGGAGAGCGACTACAGGATTGATGAATCGGTAGCGACATGGTCAACTCCGTCAATGATCGACCGACTTCTTGCAGTGTATTTCAGCGATTACTTTTACAAGGCAATGTCCTAGGCGATAGGCACCATCGGCTCTCCCTGCACTACCGGGAGTTACCTGATTTATGGGCGCCTTCTGTCGTTCTGTTTTCGCTTTTCTGCTTCCGACTGGTTCGACTCTGCATTGCGATGTGCACTACCACGGGTTCAAAAGTAGCGATTGACTCCAGCAGTATTGGAGGGTATGTACTCGTATGTATGTACGTATGGGCACTAGGATGGTAAAAACAACAAGTAAAATTGGAATTTTAATGCTCTCATCTCCA